TCTCTCTCTCTCTTCCTGGTACCTCTCCATCTCTCTCAATTTATTATTTGCATTCCTTAGTTTACAGTCAGTTGTAGTTTCTCAATTGTGAATTCAAATCGAAATTCACATAACCAAATAAGCTTCCACATTGGAAAAACTGTGAACAAATATATCATTTCTTTATAGTGATTTAAGCTCTACGAGTTCGGCTCAGTAATCATATCCCAAAGAATGGAAGCGAGGAGGCAGATACCACCGCCCCCTGGCCCGCGATGACGCCTTCTGGCGACCAATTTCGGCGAATTTTAAATTTTAGAGCTTTTCCCTTGTTGGAGAGTAACCGATTGCTGTTATGATGAAAAAAAATGTTCAGAGCGTGTGGGTATTGTAGACCATGATGTTGTGGAGCTTAACAATTTTTTAGGGTGGGGTTTGGGATATATCTCTGTGAGGGAGAATGGAAAATATGGGAAAAAGGGAAAATATTGGTGAAGAAGATGGATGTTTGAAGGGTATAGATGACATTTTGGTATTTTATCAGCTCATTTATTTTTGTTTCAAAAAATTTCATCACGTAAAGTAAACATTAGACAAGATAGTGACGTGTAAAGTTGGATGGATTATTTTGTCTGAAGTAAACGAGGCCTAAGGCTATTGTTTTGTCCCTTCCAAAGTGGGGATAAGACACTCCCATAATGTCGTGGTCATGCCACGGTCCCAGACAGACGGGCGGGGAAAAAGCCGCTGCAAACTGATCAGGGAAGAGAATGCCCGACTTGCCAAATGATCAGTTGTGAAATTCGTCTCTCTATGCGCATGACATATCTTAACTCTCCAATCCCGCCGCACTAGACTACGAATGGCGGAGACAATCGTTGCATAGGCCCCGAGATTGTCCCATGTACCAAGTACCAGCTTGGTAATGCATTTGCTATCCACCTCAGCAATAACTTGGTGAAATCCCCGATCTCAAGCCAATTGTAAACTTTGCAGTAAGCCCCACAACTCAGCCCCCGTTACCAAGTATTTTATTTTTTTATCTATGGTATTGTGTTTCAGATCATGCTATATTATTATTATTATTATTATTATGTATCCGTCGTACTATTTATGTTTTTAATCGTGTTTTCTAATCAAGTCGCAATTTCTACCTAATCCTAAAACAAAATTTTAAATCATGCAGGTAATTAAAACATGTTTGGGAGACTAATATTTTGTGTATTTTTTGTTCCATTGGGAAAATATATATATATATAATATTCAACTCAAATTGTCGATATATAAAGACAAATTCTCTCGATAGAGAGCATCGTATTGAGATAAGACGGATTCTCTGACAGAGAGCCTTTTTCTCTCATCAAAGAGACTTTCATTTCTCTGCTGGAAGAGATCATTGGATTGATTAGACTTTGGGACAGTTTTATCTTACGATCTTTTCGTTCTTCGATTCAAATTTAGGAATGTAAGAAGAGCTTATTCGGAAAAATCATTGGCGACAAACGTGCTAGCTTGGTGGGGATAAAGGAAGCGATGAGATTCATATAGAAGATTCGGAGTTCGTTTGAGGTACGAGAATTAGAGGTGAATTTTTTCAGTTCATTTTTTAAAACCCAGAGGAATTCAAAAAAAAGTGGCTGGGGCACTAACTGGATCTTTGAAAATCATTATTTGATATTTCAAAAGTGGAGAGTGGGGCTAAATGCTAGATATGATTGTTTTGCAAGAGAATTTTCTATACATTTTAAGTTCAATGGATATATTTCAACTACTAAAACACTACTTCTAACATTGTGAGAAGAAGGTTTTGGTACCCACCTTCAAAATGTGGAGGAAGTTTGTGTCAAGTATGATATTGAGGTGCCTCAAATGGAAGCTCGCTATAAATCTGCTACACGTCGTTCAAGTCAGCAAAATGATTCAATCACAGTTGAGCATCATTTCATTTTGATGTATTTAACTCCACAATAGATCTTCAAATTGAAGAGATAAATAATAGATCCAAGGATGAAGCGGTTGAACTTCTTAAGCTTAATTGTGCCTTGGAACCGAAAGAAGACTTTAGACTGTTCAATGGGGATAATATTAATCGTCTTGCCGAACACTTCTATCCTCTTGATTTTTATGCTCAGGATTTACTCCACTTGAGGATGTAATTGAACCACTATGAGCTTGATGTCATTACTAATGAGAGATTTCAAGACTTATCGACTATTTCTTAATTATGTCGAAGATTAGTTGAGACAAATAAGCCAAAAATTTACAACTTGATTGACAGGTACAACTAAAATATTCTTAAGTCATTTTGTGTTAACTAAATTCTTGTATACTTATTTGATCTAATTTATTTAATTTATTTGACAGGTTAATTCGTCTTATTTCCTTGTGTCTACGACAAGTACAAAATGAGCGTTTTCAGTAATGAAACTTGTCAAGACAGTTCATCGTATATAAGATGGAAGAGATTCTTCGTAATAAGATGGAAGAGGGGCTTTTGGCGGATTCAGTGGTTATTTACATTGAAAGGGAGTTCGTTGAAAAGATTAGTAATGATTCTATAATCCCCGAGTTTGAATTTAAAAAGAATCGGAGATTTCAATTTCATTAGCTCTAAGTATTTTTAAATCCTAATTCGGTAATGCAATGTTTGGAGAAGAAAAAAACGTAAATTACACTATCTAGCGCCCCGTCGGAGGTGATTTTAAATACTTGAGCTGTGATAAATAAAAATGAACTCTTGATAAAAATGGCTATTATGTTAGCCACAAGTACAAACATTATATTATTAACCCAGAAAACCAACCCAGTGGTGTGTATTCTTTTCTCACAATTAAAGACAACTATTATGATCATCTTGATTATGCCAGTAATGAATTATTGTTGGAGCCGAAGTGAAGTAAACATTAATGAAATTAAATAGTGTTACTTTTGGTCCAAAACAATTAGAAAAACGAAAACAAATAGTTATGGAAGAGTCAAAGTCAACATAATAATCGACATTATTAGTTGAATATTAAAGCTACTTCACTAGAAAAAGAGACTCGATCTACCCTTAAGTCTATTTTAGACTCAAGTAAAGACTTAGTGTCTTTGCATTTGAGTGAATTGTATAAATTTTACATACTTTTATCTATGTCATCCAAGACTTGAGTTTATTTACATGTCACATAGATAAGACTAGACCCAATGCATTGTAGATGCTCTTAATAATATTAAAAGTAGTTATATCTTGACCTCAAAAGGAAAAATACTCAAAAAAAAAAGTATTTCGTGAGTGCAGCTTTGCTATGTAGTCATCGGATGACTCGACTAATGGAGTCACCAATACTTATTCACCAACAGTGACGAATCCATAAATTTTATTCAGGGAGGCCCGATTTTAAATGGTAAATTGCAGGCTTGTAGTTTAAATCGTAACACTCATTTCATATAAAAATGTATTATAAATATAAATATTCATACGTGTACTATCAAGTTTTTAAAAACTCTAGAATCCGTATCACCTTCAAACTTAAAGAGAGAGAGAGAGAGAGAGAGAGAGAGAGAGAGAGAGTTTCATATATTTATAATTTAAGTTCAACATCTATAATTTACGGAAAATAAATTTTTTGGTTAAAAATTTGATTTAAATCGAACTTTTACACAACACTGCATAACATTTTTGTTGATGGAAGTTGTTTGTCCCATTTTTGTTGTATTTTTTATTGTCATTTTGCCTTTCTTTTACCCCCATATTAGGTCCTTTAGTTGTTTTTTTTTAGTTCGTTTTTTAGTTTATTTCGTGGTTTGCTCTATTTTGGTATTTCTTTTGTTTCTCGTGTGTTTTTCCGGTTTTCTTTTGTTTTTGGTGTGCAGGTCGGAAGCCCCATGAGAAATGGATTTAGCCCAAAAATTGATCGGGCAATCATGGTTGTGAAGATGGGTTCGTTGGCGACATATAGGAAGAATCGGAACTCAATTTCGAGCTCGGACGAGCCCGAACGGGCTCAAACAGCAAAGTCGCGCAAATCACGTTTTTTGTGTGCATGTCATAAGCCTTGGGAGGACAGGTTTTGAAGAAAATATTTGATGGGTTTGCATAGTTAGATAGAGGAGTTCGTTAGCGACGCGTAGAAAAAAATAGAACTCAATTCCGAGTTCAAACGAACCCGAACGAGCAAAAATCGTAAAGTCGTGCAGTGCAGCCCAGTTTTCTTCACCGCGGCCGCGGCGAACAAAAAACTGCCAAAGTCCCAACTTCAGCGAAAAAATTCCGCGGCCTCGGAGCAAGTCGCGGCTGCGGAGGCTTACTTCACCACGGCCTCGGAGGTCGCGAAAACAGGTTTTAAAAATAGATTTCTTGAACGATTCGGGGATTCATTCTCTCCCCCTCTGGGAGACGAACCCTAGCCCGAGAAAACTCACGAAACTCCCTCTTTCTCCTTCTTCTTCTTCTTCTTCTTCTTCTTCTACATTTTTCTTCTTCTTTTCACCTTTCTTTTCCATTTTTCTTCTTCTTCTTTTTATTATTTAGAGATTTAGAATGTAATTGGATTCAACTCTTGGATTGGATTTTAATTGTGAGTTTTTCATCTTCTTTAATTCATGTGAATGATTATCTTGGGTGAATTGCTTGATTGTGTTGAATTCATGTTACATAGCTAATTTCTATTGCTAGGGATAAGGGATGATTGTTCTTGTTTAACGTATACTTGTCGGGCTTGACTTGTTCGTTCTTGTGTGAGTTAATTTGATTAGGAATTGATGAATTTGTGCTTGATTGATTGATATAATCGAAGAGTGACACTTCGATCTTGAAATTAGTAATAATTGAACGTTGATTAGTCGAGTTAGGGTTTGTTGATTCTATATGATTAGTTGATTAATTCTCTTCTAATTTAATTAGCGATTTTTAGAACCGAAAGGGAAAAAGTCGTAGACCTAAGCTCGCATGAGGTAGATGATTTCATAACTGAATAATCTATGGGTCTGGATTGAAACATATGTTTATCGGTGTCTTTTCCCTTGTTACGAAATGTTATTGGGGTTGGATAATTGGCTTGTATTGTGTGCTCGAGCTTGCTCGTCTATGTTCAGTCCCTTGTTACGAAGAGTTATTGGGAGCGAACCGCTAAACGTTTAGGCTAGAGTGTCAATTTCGAACCGAACGATTAATTGCCCAGTTGTGCTAAAAACTTTAATTAATTATCCCCGACTCCCTAACTTCTCCATCTTCGTTTCGTTCGCATTTTATTTAGGTAGTTTATTGTTTTTATGATATTTCTTAGTTGGTAATTACTCTATCCCCTATGTGATTAGTATGTTTAGAATTTTTTTTTTTTTTATGTGTGATTGATACCAAAACTGAATTCCGAAACGCCTTCCTCGTGAGATCGACCTGGGGAACGAATCTTCCGATTCGGTACTCGGTAAAAAAATAACAATTTGTGCTACAACAGGAGTTTATCAAATGAACATTTTTTTTAAGAAAAATAAATAAAGTTGAAAATAGGTGATTACAAACAAAAAAAAAAGTAGAAAATCAACATTAAAAAATGTAACATTCCAACTAACTAAAACGATTTATAATTAAGAGACCGAAAGAGTACATCATTATAAATATTTTCAAAAGCTTATCTAAAAATTTAAAATATAAAGATTGTTAGTATATTTTTCACTAAATAAGTAATATTATAAATTTAAATGAAAATAGCATAGAAAATAAGTTTTAATTAGTAATATATTGTCAATATTTTTTACATTTCTGTATATATTTTATAATATTTTCTTTATATGTATGTTGATTTTTAACAAGTTTTAATTATTAATATATTGTAATTATTTTTTATAATTTTTTACATATTTTATAGTTTATATATATAGAGAGTTTTTCTAAGAAATCAGGGGGGGGGGGCCCTGGCCCCCTTCTAACTCCGTCATTGTTCACCAATAATGTATTGACACGTGTTACAATAAATATACTGTGGACAGTTGTCAATATATTGTGGTGGATGATTCCATAAAAGAACCATCCGACGGCTCCATAAAATTTTTGTTCGTGAGTGATAGTTTGTGCAAAAATTTTGTAATTTTGGAGTGGAAAATATATTGTTTTCCTTTTTTTTTCCCTCTTTTGCTTAAAGCTAAAAAATGCAATTTTATCTTTTTGTTGATGTAATTTGGATAAAATATATATATAAAAAAAATGCTTAGGGGCCCGGCCCGAGGGAGTTTAATTGTGACAATGTCAACCAGCAATAATGCTGAAATAATTATATGAATCAATATGAAATTTTGTCTCCTAATTCCTTCAAAGGAAAGAACCTTCTGTTACTTTCGGCTTATAAAAATAAGGTAAATTAGTGGATGCCATAATTAATGTCAACCACATGAACATTTATGACTGACAATTTCAACACCATTTATATGCTTTTACCCTATCTATTCATATACATATCCATGAAAAATAAAAACATAAAAATAGTACTGTGGGATAATTAATATTTTCTTCGGGCATAAGTGGCAGATTCTCACGCTTAATTTGGATGCTGACATGGCAAAAATTTATGTTTCGTGATGTTTTTATATTATTTTTGCTCTGAAGTTAGGTTTGATATTATACATAAATAATTTTTATCAGAAATTTTTTAATTCATCACCCGTGTTGTATAATGGTATTGTAATAGTATCATTTTGTTTAAATACTTTATAGATGACTTCATGACATTTTTAAGTTTTTCTACATCTCATTGGTCCAACAATTGCAAAAGAGTTTGGATTTGGCATTAACTAAAATATTATCATATATAAATTAATTTAAGATTTGACATAGTAATTTAATATAGATTAGACTATATATAGATTTGGCATAGTATAATAAAAAATGGAATAAATTATACATAGTAATTTAATATACATTAGACTATATATAGATTTGGCATACTATAATAAAAAATGGAATAAATTAAGAGCCTCTCGAAAATAGAAATTGACAAATTAAGTAGAGAACCCATGGATACAAAAGGAAATTTTTAGAGAGACATGTAGAAATTTTGGCATGTCATAGAGTTTCTATAATTTGTGCATGTGAGCCTTTAAATGAATAGTGAAATGAGAATAAAATTTACTAAAATATTAGCCAACAAATATGGGAACATGTAAATAAATGCTTTAATTACTTATATATATATACATATATATATATATATATGAGAATATATATATATATATATGGACTGGTTCAAATAAAACCCAGTGCTGGTGTGAGAACCGTGAAAACTATATTTGATGCTATTTATAATTGTGAATGATGCTATTTTTAATACACAATGTGCTATCATTCTCACAAATGCTAATATAAATTGTGTTGCTATTTTCAATAAAATAAATCTATGTTAAAAATAGCACTAAAACACAATTAATATAGCACTACGTACAATTAAAAATAGCGGTTCTCACGGTTCTCACGCTAAGACTTGGTTCTCATTTGAACCACATCATATATATATATATATATATATACGAATCAGATCAAACCGAATATGATAAAAAAAATATTATTTTCTAGAATAATTTTATTAAAATCTATGATAATTTCATTAACATCTACGATATATATAAACTATAAATGGATTTTCTGTTATTCATGTTGATAATATTTTGGTCAAGATAAATAAAAACATATTTAAATTAGATGAGATACTAACTATAATTTCTTGCCAAAGGTCCCATTACAATGACCAATTTTTTCATAAAACACTAACATCTGTGTCCTCAAAATGATTTGGAAAAAGCTTTTTGTCATGTGCTTTGGAATATTCTCAAGGCCCAAAAAGTGCAATTTCAATTTTCAAACTTCAAACAAGGTAGGTAACTAAATGAAATTAGAAAAAAAAAAAAAAGA